GCTCTACTCGCCCTCCGTGGCCACCATGGACGAGCTCCGCACGCTCCGCAAACTCGTCCGCGCTGGGGTTTCTCCAAGGGCCCATCTCGACTCCCTTCCTCAAGCCAGCGGGACACTAAGCGGGTCAATGCCAAGGGGTTTGTTCTCTTTAAACCTCACCCTCATCCCGCAGGAGTCTACCAGACACTTCAAAGCTTCTTGTAACCAGCTCTGTTACGTACAAACTCGGAAATATTACAGCAAAGGCCGACCTCAGCTAAGACCTCAGCTGGGTACACCTGCCACCTTCATCCAAAGCTCCTTGTTGTTACCGTTACCCACAAACAACCAACGAGCAGAGGCCCAGGGGCCCCTGGAGAGGCCTCACCTCTTCCCTGCCACCCGCACGAAGCTCCTTTCGCAGCTCCCTGCTCCGCAGCACGCGTCCTCCCCAGCCTCCCGCTCGGCTGCCGCGGGCACCCCGAGCAAAAACCATTTTATAAATTAAACACTGCCAAAATTTTGACTAAAAGCTCCTAACTTGGAATTGTATTCATAAAGAATTTATGAACATTTCTTCATAAGATGAAAACACCCAACCCTGCAGCTTCATAAATTTTAGTCTTCTAATTTTTCTTTTCCCTTCACAAAGGCTTTCTTAAATATTCATGCCAATTTTTCAAAATTTGTTTTTTACTTTATGGCTGCAACATATCTTTACATTTCATTTTTAATGTGAAATATTCAAAAAAATCCCAAAGCAATGGGCTGCACTTTATTCTAAGATTTCTGTTTTGCTACACCGCAAATCCTCCTAAATCTCAATCCCCAGCATAATGTCTCCCAGATGTCTCCACTAGTTGCCATGCCAACTAAAGCAGCTTAAATTAAATGAGGGCCTGAAATGGCACCTGCACCACTCCAGGTCTGTTGCGCATTAAATAAAGCTCTCTTGACAGGGGCTCAGAGGTGCCATTAACTTGCGCAGCAGCTATCTGATTATTGTCTCTAGATAATTTAATGAGGGTCTCTAAACAAGAGTGAAAGCAGCACTTGCTTGATGCTCCTGCCTTTTCCAAACGTGGCCGTTTCTCAAACAGCTGGTGCACAAGTGGGTCAATGACTTGACCATGGCCACTACCACAAATGTTTAACCAGAAACAACCAACACAAAAAGACTAACCTAGACTTAGGGGATTTCAATCAACCATTCAAACAAGTATCCACATTCTTCTTTTTTACGTTCATACATACAAAATAACGCTGGCCATGAGGTGGTCACTGGAGCTGTAATCGGCAGCTAAATTGAACATTACTACCAGATAAAAATTGCTGCTGACAGCAGTAATTAGTTAAGTAGCTGTATAAAATTAGAACTACAAATGTACCAATTTGCTCCAGAATAATTATCAAGGCAACTGCACAGCACAAAGGACCCTCACTTGCTCCTGGTAACTGGGAGACCTGCTGAATTGGTAAATTTTGCAAAGTGACAAGCAAATTCAAATAAAGGAATCCTGCGCCACAAAGCGCACTTTATTCCCCGGATGAATCAGGCCATTCTTAACGACGGCCACGCTGAGCGCGCAGCGCAGCCTGCAGCCCCGCTCCCCGGGACGGGGGCAGCGAGCGCGGACCCGCTCCGGGCACACGGCTCGACGGCCTCTCCAGCCAGAGTCGGTGTCTTTGTAAGATGTAAACTGTGCTCCGGAGCGAGTGGAAACGCTGGAAACGTCTCCAGCAGGGCCCGGTGACCCAGGAGCCGTTCTCAGAGGAAGGAGGGGATGGGGGACGCGGTCTGCAGAGCGCGGCCGTCAATCCCAGCGCTTCAGCACCAGTTTCAAAATGCCCTTAGTTACTTAATTATTTACGTTCACGATTAACTGAATTTGATATTCAAATGGCAAATACATCAAGTGTTTATGCTACAGGGCATGTCTTGGAGCTCACAGTTTGGATATGTTACACCGCTTATGGACAGATGCAATTTCCAGGAGTAGGGAGAAAAAAAAAGGAGTGCGAATTAACCCACAAGGGTTGTGTGGTTATTTGACTAACCCACCTAGGCCCTCCAGACCAGCCCCATCTTCCTTAAACAGAACCTGAAATAAGCTCCACTTACAGTAAGTAGAAGCACATGCAACCAAAACACCTATTCCTTCATTCTTCTAATGAACTTAAGGATTATAAGCAAGTCTACTATGTCTGTACAACGCAATTATTTCAACAAAAAGGAGAGAGAAGAACAGAAGGCAAATAGTTTCCTACAACCAACATGATATTCAAGAAATTTAAACAAATAAAAAGCAAAATCTATAAAATATTGCTCAATATGTCTTAAAATCAGGTAACCATGAAGGAAACTAACATTTCTGTTTTATATACAAAACTTGGCAGTAGCTACACTAATAAAAATAAGCTTATCCCATTTAAATATTCTTGGTTGTACAGTCACACAGAAGGCCTAATCCTTAACCTAGATCTGATTTATAACTCATATGACTTATTATAAAATGGGGACATTGAACTAGTGCAGATAACCAAAATCCAGTTTATAAAGATCATCTCAGATGCTGCTGTTCACATAAAAGAAGTATCAAAGGAAAGTCAGGGGAGCTTTATCTAATATTCATAGGAAAAAGCATCATACAGCACGTCCTACCCTTTCAGCCAATACGTTTGTTTGGCTGTCAATCAGCAGATCAGCCTGCGTTGCAGTTCGGATCACTTCACAAAACACTTGCTTTCTTCAGCAATCAATTCCAGGTATTATAAATAGATCAAACCATATCTCACAAAGCTCAGTTTATCTAAAAATAAGGAGTGACAATTTTCAGCCCATTAAATTTTTCTATAAAGTGGGTCAAGCAAAAAACAACTAAGATCCATCGCTAATTAAAAAAGAAGAACGTTGCCAAGTGCACCCATCGGAGCGGGCTGACTCGCTCGGGCTTCACGCAGCTCTGCTGAAGACACCAGGAGGGCAGAGCTCCCTGCAGAGCGCAGGGCGCGCGTCGGCGCCGCGCGGCGCTCACCTGGTCATCGCAACTGCTACGGTGCATCCTGGTAGCAGCACGAGGGACTCGGGTCTGAGCTACTGTAGTGTAAAAAAAGGGATTTTTAAAATATAAATTTAGATAATAAACCTACCTCCTCTAACAGAATACTTTTCTTTTAATGTGCTTCTGCAT